GCTTCAAATTTGAGAAATACCACCACAGGCGCTGCTCCCCGCATCTTCCTGTTATGTCAGCTGACAGCCCTAGTGGCAGGTGGGCTAAAGTTTCTCATGGTCATTGGAGAAACTAAATAACCTCCATTTATCTAAATTTGCATAGGGATTTGGGAAGAGCGCAGGTAACCTTTTTTCTTTGGTTTTTACTGTATGTATTGGGGCTCATGTGTACTATGGTCATTGCTGCCACCCAGGAGTGATGGGAGTTTGAGTGCAGGACTTGTTTTTTTTTGTAGCTGACAACCCTAACCAATAAATGCAGATCAAATTTGTGCAAAATTCATATTGCTTATGTGAAAAGGTAACTTTCACATCATCAGTATGCCGAGCGAGGCCCCTGACTGTGGGCACCTGGGGAACCTTTAAATTATAGGGGGATGCCCAAAAAAGATGGCAAAATAAGCACTATCAGAATGCTAATTGGTTCATTTACCACGTTTAAGCCACCCTTTCTTTTTATTTGCGTTACTTGTACCATGTTACTCACAAGTCTTTATTGAGAGGACAGACCATTTTTCGTTCTATCCCAAATTCATTTTTTGTTAGGACACACAAATCCAAATTCTGATGAAAAAGGGGCATTATTTTACTCTTCAATTAAATCATCAACATATGTTTATTACATGTTGAGCTCTGACAAGAAGTGCACAAAAAGTGAAAGAATCCAAGCAACTACAAAAAGGAATGTATTATTAAGTAACAAACAAACAAACAAACCGACCAGCATACACTGGATTAGAATTTTCTTTAACACAGAAATGTCAGATTCGTTTTAAGTTTTAATTTAGCATTTGTTTTTCATTTTTTTTTTTATAAAATGATCTTATTGCTTGTAATATGTGTTTAAGAATAATATAATTTCTGTTTAGATGGCTGATATTTTTTGACAGATTCATAGCTCTTTACATTTGTCAGACATATTACTATGATGTATTAGATTGTCTTTATTGTTTTGAAGAACAATTGGTAAGAATTGTATTTGGCTGATAAGAAATGTCTCTTCACTGGAAGAATATTTTGTCAGTTCTGTCCCCGTTCAAAACATTTGCTAAATAACACTTTAACAGCTTTCAAAATAAAACAAAAAAACATTCCCTTAAGAATTTTGCTTTTTTTGACATTAGCAATTCGATGGGTATGATAGGAGGCAAGCAAACGCTGGATCACAAACTGATAAGGAATGAAACAAGTTGAGAAAGATTTGGTAAATGGCTATTAGTCATTTTAAAGGCTGCACAGAGGTTTGTGAGACTTATTAGGGGAAAGTGACCTTTTGTTATCTTAGTAGAGTGAAGGGGTAAATAAATTGACTAAACATAATAAGACAGATCATTTGTACAGAAGAAACTAGATAGGTCATTATACCTCATTCTGTCAAATTATCAAGAGGGAAACAGAGGCAGAGAAAGTGAGCTAAATTTTACACTGCATGGATGGATCCTGGAAAGTTTTGAATGCTAATTACAAGAACGTGCATTTGCAATTAAAGTATTTATTGACATTTTCAGCAGTAGATAAAGAATCCTAAAGTAAGAAGATGATTCTTATTGTTGGTTAATTATAATTGTTTTAAATGGGCATCCTGCAGGGGATATTGTCTCCTTATATCGGAAGTGGATGTCTCAGCAGGGAGAAGATTGGAAGGAAAATGATGGAGGGAAGATTGTGGAGGGTTGGATAGAGTGAGAACAAAGGGAAAAAACGTTTGGGGGAAAATAAATTAAAAAAATCCACACTTACACACCATATTACAAGAACATGTTTGAAGGAAAATGGGATAGTTCTAGTTCATGTTACTACGAGTAAGTTGAGAACTGGCTGACTTTGCAGATTGTATCAATATAAAATGTGTATTATAGGAAGAAATTAACTTTATATAGATGCGAAGCAAGACCAAATGTAAAAAGAAAAGTGATAATGGCTTACATGTGTTAAACTTTATTTGTTCTTATTATGTATATTATTATACATTTGTTATAATATTAAACATCTTAGTTAATTGCACCACAGTCCAGTTCTGACAAGACAGCATCAGTGCAAACAGTGCTAATGAAAAGGAGAAATTTAAACACGGTTTCATTTCTTCTCATCTGTGCAATCTTTCTCTGTGCTGACAGCCAGGAAAAAAAGACAGAGCGTAGAACAGTGACTGACCGGGAGCCAAGATGGAGGCTTCCAGTTGCAGAAAAAGATTTATGCATTTCTACATGACATTTTTTTTTCACACCTCACAAATACACATTTGTTAAATATAGTGAATGAGTTAAATTAATAATAAAATGCCTCCTAACCCCTCCTAACCCATCACACCCTCCCATACCCTCCCCTCCCTCAACATCCCTCTTTATCCCCCTTCTATACTTTACCTATTTCTCTATTATCTTTCATTATCCAACGAGGATACATAAACTGACTGAATAACTGATGCAATACAACTCATTCTGAGGTTACCAACAGATTCATTACATATTTACGCATAATAGTTTGTCTAGGGGCAACTACTCCAACCACAATATCTGGGAAAATGAACTGGGTAAATATTTATACAAACAGTTACTGACCTTCAAAATGGGCTCAACGACCTCCGACATCTTACTGGGGCTGTGGCTTGCAGGAGATAAAGAGATAGCTAAGATAACCATACAGCCGACTCATTACAGATGTCGACTTACCTAGGAAACGGTATAGGGACGGCCGCCCTACTGACTTAAGATGATCTCCCCGGACAAACAGACCTCAATATTAAACCGCCCCGAAGAAATCGGTCATGCACTTATTACCTAATTAGCTAAAACGGAGATAACCTCTAATAGCTCTGCTGGACACAATAGGACACACTCGACTAACAAGACAGCATACCCGAGCATAACCTATTACATGCCCATGGACGCCCTTTAATCACCCTTGTACCTCCCACGAAGCACAATCCAATGCCTCAGACAGTTGATATGAAAAACCTCCAATAAGCCGAACTCAGTCCACGACCTATCATTATCCCAATTCATGATAGCAATCTTAGCAACATATTGACTAAACCAGCTCGAAGTACACAGTTATCCTAAGCTTCTGATTACTAACATACCATTGTTTAATTGTTGATCACTGGAATTTCGCAAGGACCTGCGTGTCCGTTATATCTTGTTTGAATGTCGCAGTTATGTGTTGATAACTCATATCTTGTCTGGACCTACGTGCCCAGTACATTGTATCTTATTGCTGCAACTAATAAACAGCTTTGAAATTAAAAAAAAATAAAAAAAAATTAATAATAAAATGGGACGGGCAGGCCCCTGTGACGGTAGTCACCATCATCTGGACCTCCACACAGACTATTTATGTAGGTTGCTGGACTTTTCTTATGTTTTAGTCATTATAGGTGCAGGGTGTGTGAAATGTAATTGTTTTTAATGTGTGTATACTGTTAAATGTTTTGCCTGTTCTCCTGTACTGTTGAGGATTGCTACCAACTAGGTGGATTTGGCTATGGAGCCTGTGTAGTGCCCTCTGTTGGTAGCAACAGCAATATGCATTACCTGAGTAGCAAGGCTGGTCTGACACTCCCCTACGGTGTACACAATCCCTTCCCTCTGCTTGTGATATAATTAACAAAGACAATGGGCTAACTCAATTAACTCCAAACAGAAAAAAACATAACTTTTTTCAAACCCCAAAAAGTACCCCAAAATACAACATATCTCCACATCCCCTGAAAGCCCCGATCTGGGTGAACAACATATCCAAAACTCACACAGATCGGTTCAGGGGTTCAGGAATTTCCTGGAAGTCTTATTTTTGCCCCACCTTGCACATCGTCCCTGGGGACAGCTGGACAATTTAAGATGGCTAATTTAAGATGGCTACTGCTGCATGTTTGAATCTGTTCCAGTTAAAAGTCCAAATACTCCCCTCAAAAACTTGTGGCAAATTCGGCTAAAAGGGGGAGTTTGCCACATATCTTCCCCCTCCTGGGGAGACTATCCAGACCCCAGACCTTCAATCGGTCTGGGTCTGTGATAGTTTGGTGGCCTTTCCAAAAAGGCGTAGTCGTCCAGATGACCTCCTGCCACAAGTGCCCAGTTGTAGATCCAGCGTCTGGCGGAGAAACAACCTGGATGCACTCCCCCCTGGTTGGATCAAGTTGTTGCTGGGGGCTGAGGGTGCAGTCCCTCATCCATGCCTGGTGGGCCGTAGCCAGTGGCACACTGCCCCGTAGCCAGCGGTTCAGCTGGGTTGGTTGGTGGGTCGTCAGGCCCCGGAACAAAGGCCAGTTGCACTCTTCCCAGATGCCAGCTCTTCTGCTGGAAGGCCGTAGTTCCTTCTCCCACACCTGGATCATGGTTGGGAATGGACAGTTGGGCATCTGAGTAGGCTGCCCAGCATCCCTGTAGGGCTAGTGCAGAGACCTCTGTCCCATCTGCACTAATCAATGCTAGGGGGCTTGTCTCTGGATGACAGCCCCAGCTGCTGGGGAGTGGGACCGACCATCTCCACTCCCTGTAACACATACTGCTGGGGAGTGAGACCGGTTGTCTCCACTCCCAAAAATACACTCTGCCGCTGGGGACAAGGGACAATACACTCCACTACCTGTAAAACATACTGCTGCTAGGGAGTGAGGCCGATTGCCTCCACCCCCTGTAACATACTCTGCCGCTGAGGAACAAGACCGGGTGTCTCTGTTCCCTGGACCTCACACTGCCACTGGGGAGGAAGGACAACACACTCCGCTCCCTGTAACACACTCTGCCGCTGAGGAGCAAGAGCGGTTGTCTCCACTCCCTGTAACATCTCCGTCTGGGGTTGGAGATCTGGGCTGGCTGCCCAGCATCCCTGTAGGACCTCGGTCCCATTTCCACCTGCCAACTGGGGGTATTCCCAGGACCAGTCGATAAAGTCTCTCATCTCTGGGGCTGGTTGGGAAGTAGGTGGTACAATACCCAGGTCTCCTGATGACAGGCTTAGTTGCTGGGGAGGAGGGATGAAACTCAACGCTCCCGGTGGTGTACAGTTCATACACCCCATCATGTCAGATACAGGTGGCGTTGCCCGTTGGAATAGGCAAACATAATCCTGTTCTAGTTCCCACTCCCAGTTGGCAAGAAAAGATAGGTCTGGCGGAATGGCATCGATCTCAGTAAGGTTCCAATTGTCTGCCCGCTCAGCTCGGATGGACCAGAATCGAGCAATGTCGGCTTCTCCGAACCAGAGACTAGTTTCCATAGTCTCCCACAACAAACCAGGGCTATCGTAGTCTCCCCCCTCAATACACTTATACTCGATCAGCCACGGGTAGAAGTGGTAGGCATGCCAGCACAGGGCTGTGTAGGAATCATCTAGCCACACCTCAGTCTCCAGTTCGCTTACCAATTCCTCTGAGGGCTGATTTCCCAGGTACGGCATCAGCAACTCTAGCTGTTCCCCTTGGCGCTTGTTGGTGGTCAGGATTTCCTCACTCCAGAAGGGTCGAATTTCGTTGAGGTCCTCCTTCCAGAGATCAGTTTGAAGCGCCACCCTCTACTCTGTCTCTCTAACTTCTGGGATAAGGTACTCCATATTGCGCAGAACATCCTGTAGTCTGGCGTCAAAGCCGAATACTACCAGGCAGTACTTGTCTTCCATACTGCAGTAGTGCTGGTTTTCCCAAGGCTAGGAAACCATGCCACCGCTACCACCAATTGTAGTGCAGCACCCTCTACACCGGCTGGGTACTTCCGCCAAAGGAGCGCTTCCTAGCTGGAACAGGGGACAAACCGCAGCACTTCTGCCCACAGTCGCCGTGGCTGGACTGGAGCCGAATGGGGAATTAGCTCTAGTCCTTACAAGGACTTTCCCAGTTGAATCTCCTGCAAGCTGGAACAGCAGACACAGGAGCAAGTCTTCTTTCCCTTCAATACCAGGAAGACACACAGTTTTGGAGTGTAAGCAGGAATCTCAGCTTTAATGGTTAAGGTTGACTTTTATACAATTCCTTGGGACAGGGGAACACCCCCTGGTCCTGATCCAACACTGAATTACAAGATGTACAAACCAATAAAAACAGTGTGCACTGTCTGACACTTCCCTACAGTGTACACAATCCCTCCCCTCTGCCTGTGATACAATTAACAAAGACAATGGGTTACGTTAATTAACTCTAAACAGAAAAAACATAAATTTTTACAAACCACAAAAAGTACCCCAAAATGCAACATATCCCCACAAATGCAGGGGTTCAAGAATTTCCTGGAAGTCTTATTTTTGCCCCACCGTGCACATGGTCCCCTGCCCAAAACAGTTTCATACACTCGACGACAAAACACCACTGGACAGTTTAAGATGACTGCCACCGCATGTTTGAATCTGTTCCAGTTAAAAGTCCAAGGGGCAGAAACAGTACTTTTGAACATGGGTTATCACAGGGCCCATAGTCCCAAGGGTAAAAAGCTGTCAAGTAGTCCCCTCCAAAGACTCGTGGCAAATTCAGCTAAATGGGGGAGTTTGCCACAGCTGGTAATTAACATATTCGGATACATTTGCATATTGCTTATTCTGCAGACAGGAGAGATATTTTCTGTTAATTATTGTCTTCCCCACCCTTTTATAAATATATAATTGTGTTATAATAAGTTGCTGTATCTTGTCTGCTATGATTTGACTGTTTTAATTTTTTTATAGAGTTATCACATCAATCTTTATGTAATAATCATATGGGCTAGTCCCGAGAAAATTGATGTTTTGTATGTCAGTTCCTTTTGGAACTTTTGTCCTGTGTTGATTTGTAGGGCTTCCAGTGACAGTCTATGGACCTGTTTGCTTATCCCTGGGATAAAGCAAGAGAGCTAGGCCTGAGCACTGCAAGTGTCTATTTAAAGACAAAAGCTATAACATTGCAGGCGAATGTGGATACCTGCCTGGAAGAAGGGATGCAAAGGAAGAGGCAGAAGCAGGGTTGCAGTGTATGAGGCAGAGGGGACAATGCCTGGAAGGAGAACTGCAGCCTGGTTGAGTGGAAAAGCTCCAGAAGGACCCCAGTCAAGCTTGGCAACTGTGGCTGAAGCCTTTCAGGATCCCTGCAAGCAGTTAGGAAGTGAACTGGGAGGAGGTACTCAGTCGCAGTACAGGAGCTCCGTCACATCCGCCATGCTTTATTCAGATATTTACATTTATCTGCCTACCTAATGCCAGAAACTGCATCATACTACTTTGGCAAATGTTGGTGCTGCTAATCATCATGAAATGGTATAATTGTGAGAACTGTGTTCCCTGAGACTGCAACCTACATGGGCGGGGAGTGATGCGGGAGTCACTGCTTGCTCTCTTACCTGACGGCTGCTCATCACCAACTCGATCCATCATTTGGTTGGTTATGTTTCTCCCCTTTGGACCGGTGGGAGTTAACCCGGTCCTCACTGGAGGGCTTGTAAGCTACTCTCTGGCCGATCCCTGTCAAAACCTGTAGTGCATGAACATAAGGCCTGCTTCTAAGATGGCTGCCGCTAAGGCCCCTTGGCAGAACTAATTCAATGCTAAGCCTGCAGAGAGGCGCTATCGACATGGTATTAAATAACTTGCTCTCCATCATGGTTCCTGTGGTCCCAATGTCGCTGTCCACCTAACAGTTGAATTTGACCTCTCTCTTATATCTAGTTATGTTTTGTATTTTTATTTTATTTTTTTCACTAAAAATTAGATGTTACTCCTATTGGCTTGCATGTTGTAATGTTTTATGTGTAAGTCTACCTGTTACTCAAATGTACGCTGGACATATCTGCATGTATAATGCATAATCATTTCAATAAAAAAAAAAAAAAAAGTAATTGAACAAAAAAATAAAATAATAATGATATAAAAAACTGGGATGTGACAATTCCCCTTTAACAGAGCAAACGGTGAAGAATTGCATCACATATAAAAGAAAAACATAATGAGTAATACAAAAGTGATAAATACGGTATCCTCAAACAGAGAGGAGTGCTATTTACAGTAAGGAGGCAAAGCAAGACGCCAGATATCTGATAGTGTAGGCACATCTATCTTATTAAATGCTTCATAAACTAGATATGTGGAATGTTAGACGTGTGTTCTTAAGTAGTGGAAAGTGGGAGTTTAGGCAAGTAAGCATTACATTTCATAGGCCTTCTGCATACTATTTCTGTACTAATGGTTTGTTCAGTTGTTTTAGTGCCCTTTATGAAAATCTGTTGTGGAGTTAAATCAACTATTCCCTCTTTACAAGTTCAAAAGTGCCAAATTATGGTGAGCAGGAGACGTTCTTGGTTGTTTTATTAATTTGTTCCAAATGATCTTTGTTAAAGATTTGTTAAACCACTCATTGAAGTGGTTTTGATGCAGTGTTGCAGTCCCCTTAACCCTGCAATGCAATTATTGCAGTTCTTGATAAACTGCAATAATTACATTGCAGGGTTAACTCCACCTCCAGTGGCGGTCTACCGGACTGTCTGCTAAATGACAAGCTCTGCATGTGGACATCCAGCGTCAGCTAAAACCCCATAGTAAAGCATTCATTCAGCAGAGGCGGGCCATGACCCAGCGCCGAGGGACATCAGCGCTGGAATCAGGTAAGTGAAAAAAGGGTTGAATAAAGGTGATTAAACTTTTAATTTTTTTTAAAAAATTTTGGGGGGCACTATAGTTTCCTTTTAATAGCTGGTCTTTTTGGTGACCGCATCAATAAGAGCTTGACCCTCCACTACTAATTCAGAGTTTGGAAATTCTATTTTTCTGGTGCGGTACTTTCACTCACGATTGGTAGTCCTTAGGCTAGCAAGGAACATCACCACTCTAATAAATATATTAATACAAAATAAAACCTGATATATTCTACCAAGTACATTGGCTTTGAATTTAATATCTAATTCATATAAGAAAGCCGCATGACAGGTTAACCTTCAGAGAGGTAGCTATACCTCTATTGTTAGACCGTAAAATCACAGTCAAATGTTTACAGTAAAGGTTACAATTACCTGAAATAAACTTCCTTATTCTCCAGCATTAGTTATGGTAATAGTTGCATTAAGAGGGAAATGGCACTTCTCTGGAAATTACACTATCAAATAAAACTTTGAACATCACCTAGATCTTGTGTTCTTTCGTGTGATGCTCCATTTTTATTTTACATATGTATCAAATTAAAAGAACACTCCAGGCACCATAACAACTTTATCAAAATTAAGTTATGGTGCCATAAGGTCACTGGCTTTGGCTCATTTAAAACAGTTCTCGGTTTAACCCCAAAGTCAGTATTTAACACTTTAATGACCGCGGATGTACTTGGTAGGTCCGACAAAAAAAAAAATCAATACTTTTATTGATTGCAATTTGAGGGACCTGCCTGACAAACCAGGCCAAAAATTTAGAGCATTTAGTTTGCTAGCACTGTATTTAACCCTGTAACTTTCTATGACACCCTAAAACCTGTATATGGGGGGTACTGTTTTACCCTGGAGACTTCGCTGAACACAAATATTAGGGTTTCAAAACAGTAAAACATATCACAGTGATGATATTGTCAGTGAAAATGAAGTTTTTTGCATTTTTCACACACAAACATCACTTTTACTGATGATATTGTTGTGATATGTTTTACTGTTTTGAAACACTTATATTTGTGTTTCTCCTGTGAAGTTTCCTGAGTATAACAGTATCCCCCATGTACAGGTTTTATAGTGTTTTTGAAAGTTACAGAGTCAAATATAAGGCTTGATTTTCCATTTTTTTCACATTGGAATTTGCCAGATTGGTTATATTGCCTTTGAGAGCGTATGGTAGCCCAGGAATGAGAATTACCCCCATGATGACAACCCATTTGCAAAAGAAGACAACCCAAAGTTAGCATCCATAATTGTCTTTTGCATTTTAAACACACAAACAAATATAAATGCTAACTTTGGTCAGTGTTTGTGACTAAGTGGCTACTAAAAAAGACTGGACATACCTCATATTGAATACTTTGGGTTGTTTACTTTAAAAAAAATATGTACATGTGAGGTCTGATTCAGAGATTTATGACAGATAACAGTGTTACAATGTCACTATTGATAAATTGTAAAAATATTTTTTGAAATGGCAATGTCCTACTTGTACTTATAGCCCTATAACTTGCAAAAAAAAACAACTAAGAACATGTTAACATTGGGTATTTCTAAACTCAGGACAAAATTTTGAAACTATTTAGCATGGGTGTTTTTTGGTGGTTGTAGATGCGTAAAAGATTTTGGGGGTCAAAGTTAGAAAAAATTGTTTTTGTTTTTTTAATTTTGTCATCATATTTCATAACTTTTTTATAGTAAATTATATGATATGAAAATAATGGTATCCTTAGAAAGACCATTTAATGGCAAGAAAAACTATACATAATATGTGTGGGTACAGTAAATGAAAAGCGGAAAATTACAGCTAAACACAAACACCACAGAAATGTAAAAACAGCCCTGGTCCTTAACAGTAAGAAAATTGAAAAATGGTCTGTTCACTAAGGGGTTGATAAAACGAAAGGACGGAGAAGGAGGGAGATTCAGAGCTGGACCACAGATTTTGGGGTAAACTGTTTAAGAGTGGTTAAACACCTTAAAGTGAACCACTTGCTTTCGATTAAGTTGTTATGATGCCCAAACTGGTGT